TGACCTGGAGGAAGGCCCTCGAGGCCTCACGCCACGCGGCCACGCCTCCCACCCCTACTCCTCATATCCCAATGAGGTGGGCACGCCGGAACCAATCGCGTGCTATATACTCGAGGCTGTGCACGGCTAAGCCGTTGATCTGCAGAAGCGTTCGTTGTCGGGGTGCGGCTTGTTTGGCAACTCGAGGAAGTTTGCAGCGGAGTTGGGGGCGGTGCACCAAGCAGCTGTTGTTTTGGGCGATGTTCTGGAATTTTAGTTATTTAGTTCCTTGTTTGCTGAGAGAAAGAGGTAAGCCGTGAAGTGGGGTGTTGATGAGAACGAGAACCCTAAAATGGGCTGTCATGTTTAGTTTAGTAGAAGCTAGACTTCATAGCTCTTTTGGAGACAGGCAAGGATGACTTCTCTAATTCTTGCCTTAAAAATATTTGCGGAGGAAGAGATTTCTTATGGCATTGGACTAGGCCGAGAGGGAGATCGGGAGGTATCCTCCTGGGAGTAAACTTGGAGGTGTTCAATTTGTCTAGCATAGACGAAGGAGATTTTTATGTCAAGTTTCACGTGCGAAACAAGGTAGATGGCTTCCAATGGATCCTTGTAGCAGTCTATGGGGCTGCCCATGAGGAGTATAAGGAGGCTTTCCTTGTTGAATTGGTAAACTCTTGTAGTAAAGAATCTTTGCCCATGTTGATTGGGGGGATTTCAATATTATAAGAAGCCCTAGTGAGAAGAATAACGATAGGTACAATGACAAATGGCCTTTCTTGTTTAATGCTGTTATAGACAGCCTAGACTTGAGAGAGCTAGAGCTATCAGGACGAAAATTCACTTGGGCTAACTCTTTGCAAGTACCAACTTTTGAAAAATTGGATAGGGTGCTTTTGAGTACCGATTGGGAAGAAAAGTACCCGCTAGCTACAGTTAGGGCTCTGAATAGAGACCTTTCAGATCATACACCTTTGCTACTTGATACGGGAGCCAAAACTCGTGCTACCAAACAACCTTTGTTCAGGTTTGAGCTTGGATGGTTGTTAAGGGAAGGCTTTCATGAGTTAGTAACGGAAGTTTGGAGAAAAGAAAACAAGGGTTCTACGATGATGGAAAGATGGCAAAATAAGATCCGTTGATTAAGACAGTTCTTGAGAGGTTGGGCAAAAAGCACAAGTGGAACATATAGAAAAGAGAAGGTTGAATTAAGTGCAAAGGCAGATGAGTTAGATAAAAAAGCAGAGGTGCAGATATTGATTAGGCATGAGTTAGATCTCAAGAACTACTTGAAAAATAGACTAGCTCATCTGTTAAGGGAGGAGGAAATTAAATGGTACCAAAGGTCAAAAACAAAACATTTAATTGAAAGGGACCGGAATACAAAATACTATCATATGATTGCAAATGGCAAGCATAGGAAGACTAAATTTTTCAGTTAGAACAAGAGGAGGGTGTAATTAAAGGTGATGAAAATTTAAAAAAGTACATCACTAAATACTACAAGAATCTTTTTGGACCACCGGAGGAAAATAATTTTTCCATGGTGGAATCACAGAAAGAGGACATTGCGCAGGTATCAGATTTAGAGAATGAAATGCTAACTAAAATATTTACCGAAGAGGAAGTAAAACAAGCTATTATCCAAATGGAACACAATAAAGCCCCGGGACCTGATGGTTTCCCTGCAGAGTTTTATCAAGTGTTCTGGGAGGTAATTAAAGAAGATCTCATGGCTATTTTTATAGAATTTCACGAAGGAAAATTGCCGCTCCACAGCTTGAATTTTGGTATCATTACTTTGTTACCAAAACAGAAGGAAGCTAGACAAATTCAGCAATACAGACCTATATGTCTGTTGAATGTTAGCTTCAAAATCTTTACAAAGGTAATGACTAATCGAATAGCTCTAGTAGCTCAGAAAGTCATTAGACCTTCACAGACGGCCTTCCTTCCAGGGAGAAATATAATGGAAGGGGTAGTAATTTTACATGAAACAATCCATGAGATGCATAGAAAAAAGAGGAGTGGAGTCATTCTAAAATTGGACTTTGAGAAAGCATATGATAAAGTAGACTGGACTTTTTTTACAACAAACCTTGAGGATGAAAGGATTCTCGCAAACATGGTGTAACTGGATTGAACAAATTGTTAGAGGAGGAAGTGTTGCTGTTAAGGTCAATGATCACATTGGGAACTTTTTCCAAACAAAAAAAGGCTTGAGACAAGGAGATCCCCTATCACCAATTCTATTTAATTTAGTGGCAGATATGCTATCTATCTTAATACAAAGGGCTAAGGATCAGGGGAGATTTCAAGGAGTCATACCTCATCTAGTTGACAACGGCCTCTCAATTTTGCAATATGCTGATGACACAATTCTCTTTATGGAACATGATCTTGATGAAGTGAAAAATCTCAAACTTGTACTTAGTACATTTGAGAAACTTGCAGGTTTAAAGATCAATTTTCATAAAAGTGAATTGTTTTGTTATGGCAAGTCAAAATTTGCAGAGAATGAGTATGTCATGCTTTTTGGGTGTAGATCTGGGACTTACCCATTTAGATACCTAGGAATTCCTATGCACCACAAGAAGCTCTCTAATAAGGATTGGCAAATTATCGAGGAGAGGTTCCAGAGGAAGTTGAGTAGTTGGAAAGGGAAATGTCTCTCAGTAGGAGGAAGGCTTGTGTTGATTAATTCGGTGTTGAGTAGCCTAGCCATGTTTATGTTGTCCTTCTTTGAGGTACCTAAAGGTATCCTCAAGAAGCTAGACTACTACAGGTCTAGATTCTTTTGGCAAAGTGATGGACATAAAAGAAAATATAGGTTGGCGAGATGGAGTGTGATTTGTACACCTAAGGATTGTGGGGGTCTTGGAATACAGAATCTAAATGTGCAGAATAAATGTTTGCTGAGTAAATGGTTGTATAAGCTTATCAATGAGGATGGGGTTTGGCAAAAACTACTTAGGAAAAAATACTTGGCTAAGAAAACAATTACACTTGTAGAAAAACAACCAGGGGATTCTCATTTTTGGGCAGGGCTGATGGAGGTTAAGAACTCTTTTCTTTCTTGTGGCGCTTTTCAAGTAGGTAATGGCACACAACTGAGATTTTGGGAGGATTGTTGGAGTGGTGATTCCTCTTTTTAAGATGTATCCTTCGTTGTATAATCTAGTCAGGAAAAAAAATGTAATGGTGGCTGAAGTGTTGGAAAAGGTGCCCCTAAACGTTTTTTTCAGAAGAGCTATTGTAGGGGATAACCTAGCAGCTTGGTATAACTTGGTCTCAAAAGTTATGTCAACTCAACTTACAGAACAAAATGATGTCTTTGTGTGGAAAGCCAATAAAAAGGAAATATTTACCGTCAACTCCATGTACAGAGCTCTCATTTTTAACGGAGTAATTCCAAGGAAATCTTTCCTTTGGGGCTTAGAATTCCATTGAGGATTAAAATTTTCTTGTGGTACTTAAAAAAAGGGGTTACTCTAACAAAAGATAATCTTGCAAAAAAGAAGGTGGAAAGGTAGCACTAAGTGTTGCTTTTGTGATTCTAATGAAACGATACAACATCTTTTTATTGATTGTCATTTGGTTAGATTAATCTGGAATGCTGTGTCTATAACCTTTGGGATCCATCCGCCTACTAGCATTACTAATCTTTTTGGTAATTGGCTGAATGGTGTTCAACCTAGGCTTAAACATCAATTTTTTGTTGGCATTGCAGCTTTGTGTTGGGCGGTTTGGCTTTGTAGAAATGATGTAGTCTTTAATGGCTCCAAAACTAACTCCTTTGTGCAGGTAATCTTCAAGGGGACGTATTGGGCACGTCAATGGTCTTTGCTACTTAAGGAGGATGATAGGGACAAAGTCAAGGAGGGGCGCACTTTGTTGGAAGGAAGAATTTTGGATTTCTTCTCTAAGCATGGATGGAATTTAAGGCGAAGGTTGGATGTCTAGATGTATCTTTGTCTTGTTTTGTGTTGTTTGTCAAAGTTGTAAGATCACCCTTGTGAGGACTGAGAGGCTAAGTTCTCTTGTGTTGGTGTTGATGTGTCGTGATGTTTGTTTGTGAACCTTTGTAAGGTGGAGTCTAAGAACTCTTGTTTTATTGTTGGCTGTGTACATCCGATCGGATGTAGAGGCCGGGTTTATCTCATTTTCTAAAAATGATTAGTTTAGTAGAACGTGGGGTGAATTTTTCTACAGCTACGGTGGTGTATCATTTGAAAATTATGGTTTATCTTCCGTGTCATAATTTGAGATCCCGGGAGGCCGAGGCCGGGACAAAAACAGAGATCATCAATGTTGGGCCAATTTAGTTTTTTATATTAAATTTTAGGATCTTGCTAACCCTGGATTATGTATAATAAATTATGGAATGAACTCTCCAGTTATATTTGAAATCTGGGGAAAACTCTAGGGGAGATATATACGTTAATAGTGACACTTTTTTGCAGCATCATTTATCATTCTGTGAGCTTATTTTCCTGTCTCCCTTAAATTCCTTCTTTCTGGGAGAACATCCATAGTTTGAGTGTAGTTTGGGGGATCTCGGGGGCATATTCTAGGTAGGCAATGCAATTTTATGAAACTAGGAACCAACTTTTATTTCCTTTTAACAGATGGGACAAAGGGTTTAGAGTTCGCCTCTCAACTTTTTTTTTTTTGCTTTCTTGCATTTTGGCCCTTCTTCGCCCCTTTCCTTGTATGTGCTTACTGTCCTGATAGGATCCATGTGTTCTGACCCATGTATGATGTATCTTTAACAAGACAAACAAACTATTTGGCATGATTTACCTGATTAATATCCTTTCAGTACAAACAAACTATTGGAAAGATACACATGAGGCAGCTCGTCATGACTTAAATAATGCCAGCTAGATCTCTTACTATCGTGTACCATCCTACGAAATAGTGTGCTCTCTGCATTAAGTATCTGGACAAGTCTTTCTTATATGCTGGCTATATGAATCCACAGATAACTTTGAGTTTGCTATATCTTTCCAATTCATCAAGTGGTTACATCAAACTCAGTTTATGTCTCTACCGTGTTATGGATATCTGCATGTTATGTCTCTACTGTGTTATGGATATCTGCATGTTATGCTATCCTGACCAGTTATTTCATTTAGGTTCAAGGACTTCCTGTGGTTGCATCAAAAGCCTCTAAATTTATTTCATTTAGGTTCAAGGACTTCCTGTTGTTGCATCAAAAGCCTCTAAATTGACTGATTTGGATGCACCTATTTCAACTAGTCAAACCAAGTATCTTGAGCTGCTAGCCAGGTATTATGTTCTCAAGGGGGAGCATATTGCTGCTGCTAGAATGTTGTTGATATTGGCAGAAAGACAGTGCTCCAGTGCGGAAGAAGCTTCAACTCTTGACCAGAGGTCTCCCAATTTTGACTCAACTTCTTTTTGTTTACTTATTTGATTTTTGCTCAGTTTTTGTCCTTGCTTTCATAAGGTCCATGTGTCATATGGAATGAGACCTACTTTTTTTGCATCCAGGTATCAATATCTGAGCAGTGCTGCGGTTCAGGGCAAAAGTGAAGGGATTACTGCAGATTCCTCGAGGAACCCTATTGATAGCAGCGCAGTAGATCGACTTGAAGGCAAACTTGCAGTTCTTCAGTTCCAAATGCAAATCAAGTAAGAATAGTTCATGGCTTCACGGCTTGAAAATCTGCCAGGCAGTACTGAATCACCAAATGATGCCTTCCTCATGATAACATTCTAGCTGATGTGGAGACTGCTAGATGTCCCATGGACAAGGCTAAAGAGCTTTCACTGAATCTCAAGAGTATTACTCAACTTTTCAACAATTATGCTGTTCCTTTTAATCTTTGGGAGGTATGGCTATCTTTGTTTCTTGGAGATTTTTTCCTTGATCCTGCTTTCTTCTCTCTTGTAAGAGGGTTACTAGGCAATAAGCATTTTTTTTACTATTGATAGCAGCACAGCAGATCCACTTGTTTTTACCAGGAATAACCAACATATCTATGGGGATCGTGACAGTTAGTAGAACTGTGAAATTCACTTGATAAGTTCTAAACTGTCATAAAGATTGCACTTCTTTTACTGTTAAAGTCATATGAACTGATACCACAAATCAGTAGGATAGACTATGACGTGTTGTGGACTTGCGGTGGTAGTGTGATCATACAATGAAAACCGGTGATCTGAGCATATCCTCAGCATTCCATTGCGTCTTTATACATTTAATAAATATACTTGACTGGTTACTATATACAGAATTACCAATAAGGTTTCGGAAGCTTTCCACATAACTACATTAAATGGGTAATACAACTTTCTCAGTGTAAATTGTATCTCAAAAGAGTTTACTTAGTTGTGTGAAAATAAGCAAGCACTTTATCAATATTTTTTACATGTTACGATAGGTATATCTAAATCCTCTGAATTTGCATCCACAAAAAACTCTTTTCGAATTTCTCATGTTGCTGAGTTTACAGTTTGTGATATAGTAATATAGCTCTATAACTGGGTGTGGGATCACAGTAAATTCTCACAAGTTGCTGCTCTAAAGTTATATATTATGGTCTGCATTTTTCTTGTGCAGCTGTATGTAGTGCTTTACTTGCACTTATTCACTTGGTAAGGTAAATCTGTTTTAGATAGTCACTGTAATTTTTCATGATGACTTGAACCTTCTTGTTAACTTTGCAAATTATTCTGGAGATGCTGACAGTAAAATTATTTGAGAAATTTGGGCCAGGCTCCTTGGCCAGTACAAGAGGTGGTGTTGCAGAAGCATGTTCTGTGGTGAGAAGAGTAGGTTCAAAACTTGATCCTGCAGATGGCTCTTGTTTACCATTGGATATAATATGCCTTCATCTCGAGAAGGCTGCACTGGTAATCTGTCAATTCTGTCTATAAATAAATGGTATTTTCTATACTAACAAGTAACAGCAACCCATTTTGTAGTGGCATTTACATAGCTATGCTATCATGCTACAGGATAGATTAAGCTCGGAGAAGGATTAGTTGGTGACGAGGATGTTGCAAGAGCCCTTCTTGGAGCCTGTAAAGGTCTACCTGAACCTGTGCTTGCCGTGTATGATCAACTGTTATCAAATGGCGCTATTGTGCCCTCCCTAAACCTGAAGGTGTGGCTTCTGAGATCAGTCCTTTTAATCCTTCGTGAATGGGCATGACTGTCATTGCACATAAACTAGGCACCACAACTGCTGGGGCTTCATTCTTTCTTGATGGAACATTTTCACCGAATCAAACATGGTCTTTAAATCAAGGCATCCGGGATAAAATAATTAGTTTGGCAAACTGGTAAGTTTACTTCATCTAAGTGGCATTTTTAATTCTCAAAATTCTCCCATTCTTAGCGTGTTTTACAAAGTGCAATATTTTTGTTGTTGGACTTCTGTACAAATATGCACTAGATAGATACCTCACGCATTGCTGCAGGATATTTATATTCTTATAGAATATGTCATGCAATTTTTTAAGCACCGAGCTAATATAATTTACTATAGAAAGGACAGTGTTGACCTAATTTATAAGGGAAATCAAGAAAAAAAACATAGAATTGCACCACTAATTAGAGAGGAACCACGGGAGATAACCACACCGTTAATTGCCACCCCAAGATTTCCCATGCATTCAACTGTTATTCTTGATTTGAATAGGAGAAAAAATTGTAAAAGCGACAGAAAGTATTTGTCTAAAAGGATGCTTGATAGGAAAAAGACACCTTCAAAATTGAGCATATAGTTTATATAAAGAAAACTGAAACAAAATGTGAAATATCCGTGCGGTAGCTATGTGTAATTCTGAGTTGGAATTTGCATAACATGCAAACGGGATGATCTGAGGTTAATCTAGCATGGATTAAATACCACATATAATACGGGACAAAATAAAGTGGATTAGACAAAATAAAATGGATTAGACTTCAAGTATAAACTCAGATGTAAAAGCACATACCTGCACCTTTATTTCGAACAAAGTACCAACCTATATAAATTTGCATTTGTGTACCATCAGAAAGGTAAAAGTGAAGAATCCAATCCAAATATTTTTCAGCATGAGGCGGTAACAAAACTTAAATGTGAGGCGATGATTGGCACCTGGTACTTGAGATCCATATGAATTCCTTTTTGCGTAGTAGTCCATCTTTATATCCATTTGCTGCAAATGTTTAGAGAGGGAGAGACAGTTTCTAATATTCTGGAGAAAAGTAGAAACTATCAGTTCACATTGATGAGCAAACAAAAGTACATAATGAACCAAAATCAAGAAGTGGTACAGACGAACAGATATGATAGAAAGTGCAGAGTAAGCCTAAAAAATTCAACATACCTTCAACTCTCAAGTCTAAATTCCATGCGTGAACCAAAAAACAAATCAGTAGCTGGAAACAGGAGGCAACACATGAATTTAGAGAGGAAGGAGAGGAGGAGAGATCATGTAAAGCTTGCCAGATGATGATTCCATAGCCTGCTCACGGTGCGCTGCGCAGCCTGAGGTTGATCGATGACCTTGCGAAAGGAATTGTGGAATTAAGGGATGATCTTGAAGGGAGGATTGCAAGCACAAATCGCCAATTAATCTCGTTGGAAGCTGTTTCTTGTGGCAGTCGACCAACCGACGGTTTCAGGCAAGGTAGAATGTGATTAAGCGAATTGATGGACCGGGAGACAGAACGTGCACATGTGCGGGCACAACATTGAAGTGAAGGCGATTGAAACCTGCGTAGTAGATTTTTACACGCACGTCACACGACATGCATGCATCATTGGAAGGAAACCGATCGGATACATTGGATCGCTTGGTATACTGGGTGGGCTGGGCTCAATATATCAGCAATGATGGACAGAGAGATGGGAATCAAGGAGCGTTCAGAATTCGGATCAGATCAACTGGAAGGATGAATGGGTCTAATCTCCCTTCATCTTTGATCCAAGGCCCAAGGCCCAGGGATCTTCTCATCCAACGGTTCATATGCGATCTCTTTCACCGATCGAACGGCTGAGAATTAGTGATGACATGGAACGCTGAGGTTTCGGCTTTGGGTCTTAACTTTATAGAAAGAAGTCACTGGCCTTATACATTGGCCCTACCTGATGTGTGGTATGCTAGCCAGGTAGCAACTACGCATCATGAAATTCTGAACCGAATCATCACAATTTATTTTGATAACTAAGATTTGAATAAATTATCGTGAAATTTCAATTTTATCTTTAACATGGCATTTTTTTTGTTAGTTGTGACATTGCCAAAAAAAATTGTAAGCACCTGATCCCCGTAAGCAATTAGAAAATACTCCTGCTTCTTTGTACTATTGCTATCTCAACATATTTTCTTGTATATCATGAAACCACTTTACAGTTAGAGCTGATTATTTTCCTTCTACTTTATGTTGTATGTGTAACTTCAGGTTGGCTGAGATGAGGCGGTTCAACCTTCCACAGAACCAAAAAAAGAATGACTATCGAGGTTTCCGAGAGTTAGAAGAGAAATTATTATCTAATAAGTAGCCATTTCAATTTGTATTCTCGGCACTGTAAAACATGGGATTGTGCATTTGCTCTACCAAGTAGAGAGAAAGCCAGCCATCCTGGTTCAATTGGACATGATCTCTGATATGCTCTTCCTGTGGTTGACGTCATTGCGAGATCCCAAGGGTACCAAGAGACTGCATATCAATCAAATATTATCCATCTGTGCAACCTCCTTATTTTAGCCAAACAATCAGTATGAATTACGGAATTACGGCTGTTAATGTGGTAAAGTTATTTTGGGCTGATTGCTAGTAAGTCCTGCGGGCGATGCCATTCGTCTGGCATTACTTGCGGTGGATCAGGATTCAGGAGAGGAGTGCAAAGTGAACTAGAGCTCTTAAAAGCGACACAAAGATCTCTTGTTGCATTCATGTTCTACAACTTCAATTTGTACCGTGTTGTAAATTTCCGTACCAAACGATTCTTTAAGGATGAACGTTTAGGTTTTGTAGCTTTCCATATATTTTTTTGAGATAATCCATTGTATGCCACTGAGTTTGTCATAGGTCTACAATTTGCCACTGACTTTGTCACGTTCTATAATATGCCATCGATTTTTGCTTAACTTCTACGATTTACCACCGCCATCCGGTTAGTCTCCGTTAGTACTGTACACTTTTATCCAAATGACCAAAATACCCCTGAGACAAAAACTTTCAAATTTTGGATAAAAATTCTGAAATGTCAGACTTTAAGTTTTTGGACAAATTTTGAATGTTTACAATCTTATGTTTATAATATGGTATTTCAGAATTTTTGTCCACATTTTGGAAGTTTTATCCCAGGGGTATTTTGGTCATTTGGACAAAATTGTACAGTAGTAACGGAGACTAACTGGACGGCGATGGTAAATCATAGAAGTTAAGTAAAAGTCGATGGTATATTATAGAACGTGACAAAGTCAGTGGCAAATCGTAGAGCTATGACAAACTCAGTGGCATATAATGGATTGTCTCTATTTTTTTTCAGAATATTGTTTCTGTAGCTCCAGACATTTGTAACATGCTGAGTTTTTTGGGCTGATCAAGTTGGGGAACAGCTTATCATAGCTTACATGTGATCAGGTGGAGCACCTGAATCTTTGCTTGCTACTCTGTCGTGCTAAAACCTGTCCAGTTCTGCACTTTGGTATGCTTTAACGTGGGGCTGGTACAACAGTTTTTTTAGGTGGTTATTTTAGGACCTAGGGAGTACACCTCATCCGTACCTTTTATTAGCAAGTAGAAAATAATTGATAGTTAAAACTTTTATATACGAGTTTTTAACGACAAAAAAGTAAATGCTGTAAAATAAATCATGATTAAAAAACCATAAAGTATAAGCGAAACCATAGGGCTGTTAATATACCTGTGATCCAAGTTTTTCCTTTTTATAGTGGAGTGGAGAATTTTTTATAGGCCGGAAACAGCCAAGAAATAACAAGTCAGTGGTTCTCGTACATTGATTAATCCAATCACATTTATAAGTGTAACCATAAGTTTTCTTGCCCAGCTTTGATCGTCCGTCTTATTTGAAATTTTTTTATAATTAGTAGTTTTATCTACTATCTACTACTACTTAAAAAATAAGAGGTGCTTCCATCGTCCGTCAAAAAAACCGGGTGAAAAAAAACCGGGCGAAAAAAACCAGTTTGTCCGATCCAAAAAAACCGGTAAAAAAACCGGGTGAAAAAAAACCGGGCGAAAAAAACCAGTTTGTCCGATCCAAAAAAAACCGGTAAAGAAATTTCCGTTTTTAATTATAAAAAAATTACCCACAGAAATAGTTTCTGTCCGATTCCAAATAAAAAAAATTCCGAGCGACAAAAGAGTTTCCATCTTCCTACAAAAGGAAAGAATAGTGCGAAAAAAAAAGTTTCTATCCGAAGGGAAACACGCGTGAATAAATACCTAATTAAAAATAAATATCTATCTCTAAAAAACCTTCTGTCGTAAAAAAAAGGAAAAAAAAAGGACCGACTCCTGTAGAGAAAAAAAAGTCCGACTCGTGAAAAAGAGGTTTTCTCGTCCGTAATAAAAAAAAGAAAAAAAACATCTAACTCAAACTCCGTAAAAAGAAAAGGAGGAAAAAACGACCCGACCAAACTTAAAGTCGCCCCTTGTTATCCGTATATATCTCTTTAACTCTAATCTAATCTATCAATCTAATCTAACTTTTTAGAAAGAGAAGTTTCCATCATCCGTTAAAAAGGAAAAAAATGCGCAAGAAAAAAATAATTTCCAAAAAAATGCGCGGGAAAAATACGGTTTCCTTCGTCTGAAAAAAACAAAAAAAATGCTATTAAAAACTATCAGAAAGAAATACACCATTTCTAAAAAAAATGGTTTCAAAAAACCACACAAGAAAAAAAAAACTGTTTATAAAAAAAAGCCGCTCTGAAAAAACTAACCGATGAAACACTGTTTATAAAATAACAGATCCAAAAAAACAAACGGACTCAACACGCGAAAAAAAACCGATGTTTCAAAATAAGGTTCGAGAAAACCGTCTGACTTAATGCGAGAAAAAAACCATCATTTCGAAAAAAAATAGAGGAAACCATCCAACTCAATGCGAGAAAAAAACCGCCGTTTATAAAAAGAACCGCTCCGAGAAACCGTCCGACTCAAAGCGAGATAAAATTGATGGACGCTTGGGTCGGATAAGATCCATCGATATTTTTCCATCTCCTACACATCATTTGTTTCCTCATCTAATCCCTGCACTTTTTGTATGCAATTATCATTATCAGACTTTTTTTAATAACATATTATATGAAAATAGTATTAAAAATAAACATATTTTTAATTGTTATTTAGAGAAGAGTGCACGGTGACTATTTTGTGTAGACTTGATCCTGAGTGTAGGATTTGATTAACCTATTATTGGTTGCAAGAATAATATTGAAAGAATATTTTTTTATTATATGTATATTGTTATATGAATAATCCAATTATTTTAGTTAAAGCAAGCATTGGTAAAAAGATTGCCATCATCGAGTTTGGGTCATTACATAAAGATGCTCTAATTTTCTAATTGTGTTAGCTACAACGATCCATAGAAACATTATCATTGATATGGGTACGCTTGAAAAATGTCTATTGTCATTGGATTATTTTTTTTACCCGTTGCAACGCACGGGCATTTTTGCTAGTTATTATAAGATGATAAAACATGAATAGTACTTTATATGTGACTTATGTTTTTATTTTTTTTAAAAAAAAATTAAATAAGACGGACGGTTAAAATTGTGCACGGAAAATCATGGCTGCACTTGGAATCATAGTAAAAAAACCAGACCGGCCCAACGGTTCAACCGGAAAACCGGAACCAGTGCATGTCACGGTTCGGTTTACAGAAAAGACAGTCAATATATTTGAACCGGTACAAAACCGTCGAACCAGCAGGTTTTCTGTTGAACCGGCTTAAAACCGGAGCGGTTGGACCGAAAACCGTGCTAGCTGCATGGAAAATTTTAAATTTTACATTGAACCGGTAAAAAACATCGAACCAGAAGGTTTTCTGTTGAACCGGCTTAAAACCGGAGCGGTTGGACCGAAAACCGTGCTAGACATGACTTAAATACCGGTTCATGGCTAATTATTTTTTACTTCATAATTGACTTTAAACTGCTAAATAGAATAGGTATTTCATTCAAACCAACAAATATCTCTGGCACAGTTGGTTTGGTGGGAAAGTTCAATGAATGCAGCGCCACAAGCATATGAAAGTCAATTATGACTTAAAAAATAATTAGCCATGAACCGGGGAACCGGCGGTCTGACCGGTGAACCAACGAGCTCACCGGGTCGGTCCCCGCTCCGGTTTTTTCCGAATGGGACGGAGTACTGACATATGGATCCGAGAAAAATGCCGGCCTAGTCCCACCGTCATACTCATCGGGGGCTCGCCCGTCTCCGCAGAGATCGCCCCACACCTGAGAAAGTGAGAAGTTGAATCCCTTCGCCGCCGCCGCCGCCGCCGCCGTCATGTGCGGCTCCGCCGCCCGAGCCCTGAACTCCGTCTCCCGCGCGGCCTTCTCCTGGAAACCAGTGAGTAAGATGGTTTGCAAAACACTTCTCTGAATCTCCGATACTGACTAATCCCCCTTTCTCTACCAGACAGGGTTGCCGCAGCAGACGCTCGCCGCTGCGGTGAGCAGGTCGGGCGTGGGGCTTCACTCGGGGGCGAAAACCACCGCCACGCTGCTCCCCGCGCGAGCCGGCGAGGGGAGGTACTTCGTCGTTGAGGGGGAGGAGACGAGGGTGGCGGCGGAGGTGGCGAATGCCGAGGCGCACTCGCCGCTATGCACCGCGCTGCGGCGGGGCGGCGCGCGGGTGCGCACGGTCGAGCACCTGCTCTCCGCGATGGAGGCGCTCGGCGTCGACAACTGCCGCGTCGAGGTCAGCGGCGGCGACGAGGTGCGGCGCCCTTTTGGTATCTCGAGGAGCTTGATAGATGTTGATGTGCGACTGCACTGCAACGAGAAAAATGTTGCAACATGATGCCTTCCCGATTTATGTGAACTGTTCAGCGATGACAGATTCCGTTGCTTGATGGATCAGCGCAAGAGTGGGTGATGGCTATAAGAGGTGCAGGTCAATGTGCGGCCAAGGATTCCAGTGGCCAGAAACTGGAGAAACTGGCTCCGGAAATCCATGAGCCTGTTTACTTGCAGAAGTCTGATTGTTTCATAGCTGCACTCCCTTCCTCAAGAATCCGTATAACCTATGGGATTGATTTTCCAAAAGTATGTTTTATCTCTTCCTTTTATGATCAGGAAATGCTAACTTCTAAGCACATTCATTTATTTTATGCAGTTCTTTTAAACCCTTATTTGCTTCTATTTCTTCTTCTAACTTTCTTATAGGATTACTGATAATTAAGTTAGTCTTACCTTTTGTAATGTTGATTATGTCTTCATTATGCTGCAATACATGTGATTGGTATGTAATTGGGTTTAAATAATGGGTGTTTTGTTAATATGCACTGAAATAAAGGTCAGCTTACCCAAAGTTTCCCTTATTTTGGACCTCAAGATTTTTGTTTCTAAGGTTCAAGAATCACATGAATAAACCACATATTATCTATTCCCTCAGGTGACAATACAGTGTATGCTACCTACTGCCTTTGTCCACAAATATAAGCATTTGAAATTTTTCTAGATATATAAGAAGTCCTACCGAACTACTTATCCCATCAATCACCTCATTCAAATTTATCCCCATCTTACCCTCAACAATCCTCTCACCCCCAATCATCCCTCATTCGATGAGCGGCACCAAAAATATTTTCTCCTCAACCTTAATCTCTGCTAAACAACCTAGAAATGCTTATATTTGTGAACAGAGTGAGTAACAGTAACTTATAAACACTATCTATCAGCTATCAATATCTTATGAGAATATATTGGAGGTAAAAAATGCACAGATTGTCAATAAAGGTAGTATCATATTATTATATGTTTACCATCTTAACTACGTCGTAATAGAAATTAATAGTCAAAGTTGTGTTTTCAAAACCATGTCGTTGAATGTCCAAAAAATCACTCTATCAGAAGGGAGTGTCTTTATTATAATATTTGGAATATTTAACTTGGATGTCAATGCTAAAATATCTCAAAATATATGTTTAGAACTTGAGCAGAGCATGCATCCTGTTGCAGGTGCCAGGAATTGGGTGTCAGCGCTTCGCAACAGTCCTAGATGCTAATGTCTACTCAAGCAAGATAGCCCCAGCAAGAACTTTCTGTATATTTGAAGAGGTATTTTACAGTAGTTGATGTTATACAATATGGATGTTGCCTTCTATGTTTTGTTCATGCAACTTATGGTGTCTCTTACAAGAATCATGGCAATGTAACTTTCCATATATGCTTTCGCGTTCATCTACTTTGTCACGATCTCATGTTGCATTAGATCATCCATCTTTCAATCACATCTGTTTTCATATCTTGGAGTAGTCAGCAATTTCTCGAATCTTGCACGGGTAAGGCCTAAGTATTTGAAGTACTTACATTTTCTGCTAGTTGTGCTGTCCACATTATTGTTTTATCCTCTCTTCCATTTTTTTTTAATTTTGACCGGAAGATCATTTTTGTATTTTGCTGCATTTATGGAATTTATAGGTTGAAAAATTGCGTTCTGCTGGGCTCATCAGAGGAGGATCGCTAGAAAATGCTACGGTTTGCAGGTGAGGAATGATATCCTGGAATTTTGTGTTCTTTGTCGTGGGTTGGTGATTTTTTTTCCTTGACGTAGTTCTGAGAAGCACATACCTGTTGACTTATTGCATGATGGATTTTGATATTGGGCAATAATCAGATCATGGCATCATCCCAACCTGTATGGATTTAGAAATTTGGACTTCCACTTGTTGCTTTATTTCTTAAATATATCGGGTTGTTTCTTAAATATTGTCTGGCGCAATGTCTGAATGAGTAACAAGTCAAATGATCTTATAATTGCTAGTTATTTTAAAAAATAGGTCAACCTGCTTAGTGCTTTCTATTTAATGTTTGTATTGTCTAGGTTAGCATGAATACATATTTCAGGTTTTCTGAAAAGAACTTAATACTATGCACAATAGCTTAGCAGTGAACTTTATTCGTGTTCTATGATCACCATCCAAAGTTAGTATACTGTGTACAGTTCAATTAGTGGCAGTGCAACTATTTTTACAAAGATATGCCTGTTGATGATGTTGGGCTCATGTGGCTAGGCGTTGAAATTGTTGCACAGCTTAAACTGCAGATTACGTTGTTCTAATTCAATTATATAATTGTATACTCATTGGCTATTGGCAGTATTTCTGGTGGTTGGCTTAATCCACCACTGCGGTTTGAGGATGAACCTTGCCGCCACAAGATTTTAGATCTTATCGGTGATTTCTCGCTTCTTGCACAGAATGGTAACCAGGGTTTTCCACTTGCTCATGTAGTTGCCTACAAGGTATGTTCTTGAAATTTAATTTACTACAGCATTGTTATCTTCTGATGCTGTTCGTAGCACATGCCATGTCAGTGGTAATATAGTATAGCAGCTTTGAGATGGCATGTCAGATTTTTCCAGTAAAATTGTCAGCAAGTATGCTGGAGTTATCACATATAGAATATCCATGTTCACATATGGGACAAAGCTGTGAGTGAATGTAATCTCAACCCAGTAGTCTACAAGTATAAAACCAGTTCTACATGTGAATACTAATCTATGTGCCTATCTAATGAGTGGAAAGATAGAGGAAATTACGGTAATGTACTGGGATGCCATGCTGTTTATGAGAACCTAAGCGACATGATTTCACGTGTATATGTTTCAGTCAGAAATTCTGTGCTAGCTTCTCAGGCTAATGCTTCCCACCTGAGTAGCATCGTCTGATAGGTGGTGCCACTCTGATTTTACATGGAAACTAGGAAGGGCATTTCTGTCTAGTATGGTGTGAGGCCTGTGAGAATCTATGTTTAACCATTCGTAAAATGAAATCATGCCCAAATACACAGGATACAAGATCCTTACGTAAATATGGGATGCTGGGACCAGTCACACTTGCTATGAGCTATATATTTCTTCCCTGCCCTGAAAACTAGTGTGTGTTGACACCTTGAACATCATTTTTTTTTTCTGGAGTTGTCTTCCATCATTTGAATTATTTAAGTTCACCACTGGTCATCCAGTTCCACGCTTGGATTTGATTAACCAGTGGTGAGTTATGTAGAACTGCTTGTCTTGATTGTTTATCTTTTGCCAAATAATTCTTGAACTTGTACTAAATCTTGGAGATAACTGAAGGGTGTGCTACTATGGTTGAGAGTTGAGATTAGTTTGTTTCGTGAAATTTCATATGTGCATATTTTTTTTTGAAAGAAGTCAAATTTCATAAATTGTACGTGTGGTTATGCTCATAGTTGACTTCTACAATTCCATGTACTTGTTGTCTTTTAGGTTTGTGCAGCACCCTTTCTTTTTACCAATCGCATTGACCTATATTTTTAGCTTTGGCTGGATTAGACCATTCTGTTAATTACTTAATTTCATTCCATTTTAACGGTAGCTATATAGCTTCTGAGTTCTGAAGTTCATGACAATGAAACTGTGGATGCTGACTTCTGACCATTGGTAAAACCTGGTCTAAGCTTAGTAAAAGTTACCATTGGTCCTAAAGGGAACATCAATTACCAACCAAAAAGTATTATTATTGTGTTATGCTGTTCAAGTGAACGTTTCATAATAAGTTGCAAAAATACTCATTATTCTGATTGTGACCTTAAAGGTTTAAACTACATACACATTTTTGTTTTTGCTGATGCATCACAACCTCTTGCTTTCAAGTACTGTCTATAGCATGTGGTCCTTACACTAAAAGGTTTATCTGAAGCCATAGGATATTCCTTATCATATTGCCTTTCTGCAGAAAGAAAATTCTCTTGTATAGAACAAATTGCAAACTTCTGTGCTAATTTCTACTTCTACACCTTTTATTCTATCCCTAAATATCTGTAACCCAGTTTGTGACATCTAATTTTAAGCTTTCCTTCTGTGACAAAGGCTGGTCATGCCCTGCATACTGATTTCCTACGGCATTTGTTGGGAAGGAGCGCTGTGGGCCAAGAAAACCTTGCTGAGCAATGTTGAAAGCATATGGATACCGCTGCTCCGTCGATAATGGCAAGGACGCAAAATTTCAAGGATACAAACATAGGATGGTCGCCCTTCTTCCAGCTAGGCCATGCAGTACCAACTATTCATCTTGCAATTATCTGCCAGCCATTTTTCCATCTATTCCTTTCTCTCTCTTTCTTTTTTGATCTGATGAATCATGTAGCCCATCAGCATCTGTACAACCTGTTTAGTCTTGCAAAGTTGCAATTCAGCATAGAAGTAGATGCCCATGTTATCTGTGTGTACAGTTCTGAGCAGCCAAATACAACTCAAACTGAACCCTTCTCTCCCTTTTTATCCTCTGATGTGGATGGAGAAAGCTGCCATCCAACCAGCGATCACCCAGGCCTCGCCACGTCGTGGGGTGGCTTGGCCTGGCCTCCCTTTCCATTCCCCGCGTGCGGATAACTACGAAGGAAGCCGAGGTGGCTCCCAGGCGGGCGGGCGGGCGAGCGACGCGGTTGGATTTGGAATGGATGCGAGGCAGGGGTGGAGTCGTGGAGGCGCGAAAAGGGACGAAAGCGACGGCGCGACCGTGGAGAATGTCTTCACGGGGAGGAGGAGGAGGAGGTATCGAGGTAGCCGTCGATGATGGATGAGTCGGCCCGCGTCGTAGGCTGGCCGGCTGGCTGGCTGGGTGCAGGCACAGCGCACGGCACACAAGCCGACCGAAAGCGCGGTGCACTTGGACTTTCCCCCGCGCCGCAAATGTGGCGTCGCCATCGCGGAGGACGCCGACGTACGCCTCCGTGGTGGTGGTGGTCTGGTGGGTGTTAAGCCTGGGCCTCTTATCGCTACAGTTTCTCCTATAATTACAAACTTTCTTAATAGTTTCGCTTTTAGTCTAAGATTTAAAAAGGTATAGTTATATAATTGAAGAATATAAACTACGAGCTATTAAAAAAACCAGAAAACCTAGACAACAGTATCCCGTTGGAACGGGAACGGGATATCTTTCTATAAGACAGTATCTAATACCTGATACCTATTGTGTTACCAGCTGCATGGTACCCGATACCTGTGATATCTGTTACCCGGTATCTGTGATACCTAGGACCTGATACCTGTGATACTCGTGCAAGAGAATAGTTAATATGTCTATCCCGTTACAACGGGATTCCGTTTTGTAGCAGTCCTCTAAAAAAACCCTACTCCCTCCCTCCATTTTAGGTTATAAGACGTCTTGACTTTGGTCAAAGTTAAACTATTTCAAGTCGGATTAAGTTTATAAACAAATATAGTAATATTTATAATACTAAATTAGTTTCATCAAATCAATAATTAAATATATTTTCATAATAATTTGTCTTAGGTTAAAATGTTACTACTTTCTTCTATAAACTTGGTCAAACTTAAAACTGTTTGATTTTGACCAAAGCTAAAACATCTTGTAACCTAAAACGGAGGGAGTAGTTTTTTAAATTATTAAAAGGTATATTAATCAGGTGTTTCTCATAACTGTAACTATGTAAGCTCTCTAAGGCTGTGTTTGAGAAAGGGAAGATAGAGAAGATTGGTAAGATACGCAAAACGATGTGAGCTATTAGTGCATGATTAATTGAGTATTAATTATTTCAAATTTTAAAAATAGACTAATATGATTTTTTTAAGCAACTTTCCTATAGAAAATTTTTGCAAAAAACACATCGTTTAATAGTTTGGGAAGCGTGCATGCGGAAAACGATGTGCAATCTATCTCTAATCTCCCAGAACGAACGCTGCCTAAATTTCCCAAGTGAGATTTGGCTTTCTCTCACTGAGGCGAGCGAGCTGGCACTTGGGGGTTCCAGGGCGAAGGCAGGAAGTGACGGAAAGCGTGCGAGAAGCTGACGAGATTTTCATGTTGGTTGGTCAGAGTTGGACGGCATGCTTGGTGACTACTGGTCCTTGTCCTTACTCTACTCGCTGCTCAATTATTCGTCGCTTTGGTCCAGTCGTGTGCACCTGTACGTGTTCGCTTGATCACTTCCAAATCAAGGAATTCGAGGAGTTCTACATGTAGGAGGTCAAGCTCATGTCAAAATTGGAACAGAACAGAAAAAGCTACTATCATGTTCAAAGCCAGTAGAAATAGGCCTGTATCCTGTAGAGAGCCAGCATTTTTCTTGGAGGCACGTCTCAAGTTGCAAGGTCCAAGGGCTTTTTATGTCACATACAGATAGGTACCTTGGGGATTGGATTAGACATGAAAGAGTAAACATCTACAGCAACCAGAAGACCGAGCAAATGGATCCAACTTGGGGGAGCAGACCACAAAGCACGCTACAGCTTCAAGCTGGCCATTTGGCTTAATGATGCTAACTAAATCGCTTTCCTGCAAATTATAAGGCGTAGCATCAAGTTGTTGTCATGCAACTGCTTGCGTCTGCATACACAACAACGGATGCCTGTCATGCTTTTATGAGGCCCCTGCATAACTAATAACCAACAAATGGCACAGAAGTACACAACATCGATGTCAAACAAGACGCAAATAACACAACACCTCTCGCAAATGGACAGGCATCTACAGCAGAAGGCAGCAGCTGCATGCTGCTACTTGTAGAACAAGTGGAGTACGTGCTGTGCACTTGAATAAAATTTGGAGTTCATTAAAAAGCCCCAACTTGATTAAGCGCTGCTCTGCCATGCCCATGCCCAAAAAGATTCGCCATCAGGTGGATTTAGTTAATTAACCGCTTGCTAACCATCGAAAGAAGAACCAAACCAATCCTTTCTCGGGACGCACGAAAGAAGAAGAAAAAAATGGAGAAGAAAAATTGAGCTCCAAGATTCCCTAGCAAGCACCTTGAACGCACACCAACACCAGTAGTGCCGCTCTTTTCTCCCATCTTTTGGAGGTTACTGCAGTTTTCATGGCAGGATCCAGATCTTCTCCTCGTATTTTTATACTGCAGATAAACCTGGCACAGTGTGCTGACCTGCTGATAGTGCGGCCATGGTTTCGTCTGTGTCATGCAATGACACATGCTTTGTTAAGGTGGTCCCTGATCAGTGATCACCCAGTGCACAGCGCGTGTACGTTTGAGTTGCTGCTCGGCTGGAGAAAAGTTGCAGTAAATTAAGCGTGCAAGTAAGTTAAGATAGGAGTATCTCATAGGCGTCTCGGTTAACACAGTAATCTATACCCAACAGGTATGACCAAGGAACTTGTGTATCATCATTTCTACTAGGTTTGTAGTGTCTAGTGTGTATTCTCAATGCAGAGCCCGAGCCCGAAGTATCTTACGATCTTCCAGTATCTCAGGGCTCCTTTGATTTGTAGGAAAAATGTAAGAATTTTGGAGGATTTCAATCCTATTGAAAAAAATCCTATGAAGGACTTTGAAACAAAGGATTGAATCCTATCCAATCATTTAAAATTGCTATGGAATGGGTAATCCTATGCACAGTTTGGAGAAAAGTTAGCAAGAGGTCTAACATCTTGGAACATTTCCTCTGAGTCTATCTCTCTCATCTGATTCCTACATTTTTTCTGTGGTCCAATCAAACGGTCATTCCTGTGTTTTTCCTGTGTTTTGCAATTCTCTGTTTTACAACTGTATTCCTGTCAGAATCCCATGTTTTTCCTATTCCTCTGTTTTTTCATTACTACGATTCAAAGGGGCTCTTATAAAAAATAAATCATCCTTAAGATAGAACGTGTTTTAACTGTAAAAAAGCTTTAATAGTATATTTTTCTTATACTATTTCGCTTATGGTTATAAAATTATAGTCATACGAATGTATTTTTAAACATGAATGAAAATTGAATAATCAACGTCTTATATTACTGAATGGAAGGACTATCATTTTCAGAGAAGCAATAGGATCTTATTACCATTTGATTTCTGGAACCCTGTTATTCACTAATGGTGTAGTTTTTGTTAAACAAAGAGGTCTCCTAACAATGATCAAGTTTTAATTGACTTGGAACCAAAACATTTTGAATGAACAGAAAAGAAAAAAAAAAGAGAGTAGGTGCTCTCCTATTATGTGTGCCATTTTAAAACATCAAAGGTTAGGTGCAAGATCACCGGAGAAAAGGAGTAATACAAGTACTAGTATTACTAGATTGGTCGATTGGTTCTGTGCACGTAGATGAAATCATGAAAGCATAATGATGTCAAAAGAGCTTGCGCAAGGCAATTTCAGGTACTCGCTCATCACGAGCCGAGAATGGATGGATGATCCAGCGAATTTTCTTGGGCAGATTTTGCTGGATGATGTGACTATAGTTGTACTCCACCCAACAGTGGGGCAGGCAGTTCGAGCGGTCCGGTTTTCTAAATAAGTTCAGTTTGGTGGATTGCTTTTGCGTTGGCAGTTACCCATTTGCTGTGTGCAAAACTCTGATTTTACTATGGTTGTTTATCGTTGTTGTTGGTCCCAAAACCGAGAACGATCTCTTTGGCCACCGACCCATTGGTCTGTTGCTTATATTAGGATGAACATTTTGTTTGGTATACTGGCGTAGCATTTTTGTGATTGTTTTTATTCTTAAAATATACTCCCTCCATCTACTTTTGATAGTCATATTTCTAAATCTGAAAAGTTTATTTTTGATAGGCATATTTCAATCCAACAACCTATCCTCTTAATGATTTTCTCAAATTTAATGCGTGACTCACCATTCTTCCATACATGATTGGCTACATGGGCATTGAGAAATGTAAATATTAATGAATCGCTTATTTACGATGAATGACTAATAGCATGTTTAAATGGATGATAAGTAGAATTAATTATCATTGGTCTGTGTGTCAAGATGAAATATGACTATTAAAATTAGATGGAGGATAGTGATTAACAATCAAACATGATACAGTATTGACCATTGACCCAAGTCCAAAATAGATCATTAGAGCTAATTGTGCATAACAATTATGGTACGATTTAATATTCTTCTTCTTGTCATTCTATTTCAATTTTTTTAAGATAATAATTCACCCTGCTTTGTTTACCTCAAAGCTACTCCCACCGTCCCAAAATATAAGTATTTTTTAACTTCGACATGATCTTTAAGATGCTACTTTGACTAACGATATCTATAAAAGTGAGATGTTTCAAATAAAAAGAGTTGTATATTGTGTTTGTTTAATGATAAATATAGTAACATCAATTTTACATGGTTGATCTTTTTTATCTTTTTGCTATTAATAGCTAAAGTTACAAATATTTGACTTGACACTATACTAATCATATTTATATTTTAGGACGGAAGAAGTATACGAACACATCACACCGTACTAGCACTATACATATCCTAGTACTACTAGAACTAGTAAAATACCCTACTCCATTTGTTTTC